TGCTGATGGCGCAGTCATATTACTAATGTATTTATAGAGGATAGGTAGTGAAGTATTCGGAAAATATCATGAGCAAATTAGCGCATTTTGGTGTACATACGGATATGGGTGTGTGGCTGATTACACAATATTTCAGAAGGGCCCTGAAGGCCTACTGTTAACGTAATGTCTGCAAATCAGTCGTCATGTAAACAGTCTGTATTTATGTACTTTTGATTTCAGAGTCGGGGCTTATATTGAACACGAAGAAGTATGCAATCACGCCCTTGAATTTATATCGACGAGGACGTCCCCACGTGATCGTAATCACACCCGCCTAAAGGTAGGTATATATAAGTAAGATAGAAGTGACCCTTCGTATAGACAGAGAAGGTGTCTGATTGTACTCCCTTGACATACACCCAGACTATGACCAGCCTCTCGTTACTACTGATGTTTGCTGTTGCACAGGTACTCGTATGCCAGGCCTCACCGAACTACCAGAATCTGGAAGTGGAGGATGAGAAAGATGTGAAGCGTGGAGACCTGAAGTTGACTGCGAAGAATAAGGAGGAAGAGGAGATGAAGAGTTTCAATGATGTCGAAGTGGACCGGAGCCAAGAACATCGATTGGTGGACGAAGTCAACGATTTTGGTCTTTCCATTATGCCCAAGTGCGATACTATGAAGTTGACCTGTTTCGGCTGCATGCCGTTGGCTAATTAAGTCAAGTGAAAGTAAACTTCCAGAAGATGGTAGACCAATGAGACCTGGCACACGAGTGCGTGCGAACCAACAAACAGGAGTAACATACAGGCTTGTCATAGTAAAGGTAAATGAAGGGGGCCTGCAATTTGACGCCTTCTTTCTCCGTCTGGCAGATGCCGAAGCTCTTGGGTATATTTACCGTCGTGCATGTGGGTGTGAAGAACTCCTTTTCGATACTACCTGCCTTACTTTTTCGTACTTGTTTCCTTTCGACTGGCCAGCCGTGCTGACATCTACGTCGATCATTCGTTTTGCGCTCTCCTCCTCTCCATCTCTAGCTGCTCTTAGTTGCCATGAGTATTCCAGTACTGGTGTTGATGGTAGGGGTGAATTAAAGGCGAGGAAGCTGCTCGACCAAAAGGACCTAAAGTTCACTGCCCAATGCACATTTGTTTCATTCGTCGTGTTCCGTCTGGTAAACCTAATGCGAGGTGCGATTAATCGGATTCTAAAGGCATGCAAGCTAATAGTAAAAGTAGATAGGTTGTGAACTGAGCATGATTCCTACGTCCCCTTGATATAACTGCAAATAGTTGGTTTCCGTAGGGGACAGCAACCTTGATGCATAGACAATCGGAAGCTATCGGCTAAAAAAAACTGATGCACGAGAACTGAATCCATGACGAAAAACATTTCAATGCGAAAGGCTTTTTGAAGATGTAATGAGTCAGGGAAAAAGGGGACTTAAAATGATTTTTGTCCGTTAAAAACGGCTGCTTCGAGTTCCGACAGTTGCAACGAGAATTCATTCCAAGTTGGTGATAAAGGAACTGAAAACGTCTAGCTAATTGATTCACAAGACAACTTACAGGCGTAACCATCTTTTTGGGTGCACGTAATTAACTAAGAGAAAAAGAATGTTCTTAGGTTCACAAGTAAAGTGCCATCTTATAGAAACAACAAAACAAGGCAGTCCTGTGCAGTTAAAAGACATTCCTCTTCAAGTTCGCTGTCGATTCAATGCCAGGACTAGAATGTTCCTCATGATATTCCACACACAAGTTTAAATACCATTAAAACCATGTAGCTTTTAGTATGAAGTCCCAGCATTTTGTCCCATGGAAGCGGTGGTTGTAGGGGTTTTTTGGGCGGAAGAATTAGGACAGGCAGTGAAATATACTTTAATAACTGCTATATGCACTTTTATTTTATTGGATTTAAAAATTTTGTTGATCTATATCTGTCGATTATCCTTATCTGGTTTGTCGTTCAACGTATTGCGAGAAAACCCGGTTATCAAAATGTAGGTTTCTTGAAATTCCTGGTGAAATAGAAATGATAGATAGGAGGTCGTCTACTTTAAATTACCTGAAGTCCAGCTTATCGTTCTGGAGTTAGATTAGTACAGTCCACAGCGCGAAGCGCCGCGCACACCTTCATTTTACATGCGGAGCAACTTAGTACCAGCTGCCGCGGGGACTAAATTCTACTACATTTTTTCCACTTTTCACTTTCTCCTACAAATTTCATCCACTGCCTATCTTAGTTCCCGACCTCAAAAACCTCTGTAGCCACCGTTTCCGTAGGACAAAATGCTGGGACTAGTGGTATACGAGGCGCACTACTTAAACTACCTTTGCCAAAACCTCGATGCATATATGGGAAATGGCGAAACTTAAAAAAATATTACTGCAAATAATGAGTAGTACGTTTCTCAGATTCAAGAAAACGCATCAGTTCGCTGTTGCTGGTTTGCCCAATGGTTTGTGCACATACGGTTATGAGGCCTACTGCTTGGTCGTTGCTTGCACTCCCCTTGAACGAACCCCAAGAGCATTTGTTTACCAAT